TTAGGGACTGATGTGAATGTACAATATATATATATCTAAAGCACTGTGTAAATTGATGGCGCTATATAAGTACCTGAAATAAATAAAAATAAATAATAACTCATAATTCAAGTGGATGTATGTAGACAAAAAAAAATCCAAAACACTTCTTGTTTGCACAGCAACCTGAAACTATCAACCTCCAGGGAGGTCTCCCCATTCTCTCAATCCCCGGTATGTGCAACCATTAAAATGATAAGCATTATTAGTAGACTGATTTTTCATAATGTCATATACATGGTCATGGAGGCGATCCCGCAGCGTTTTAGTTGTCCGACCCACACACTGTATTGAACAAATTTTACAGGTAATGAGGTATATTAGATGCTTTGTGTTACAATTTTTTCTAATTTTATACCTTTATCCAATAACTGTAGAGGAAAATTCCTCCCCCTTTCTTCAAATGGGGACAACCAGGACACCCAGCCGTGCCATGCCTGTAATTACCTTTGAAACAAAGCCATGTTTCCCTTTGTATTTTAGAAGGTGAAAAAAAAAACTTGGGGTAAACAAGTTACCCAACAAAGGTGCATGCCGGTAAACTCTTGCACCTTCAGAGACTATAAGAGCATATACATTGTCACTTAGTATAAGCATGGGGAGATGGTGTTCAATGCTATTTTTTATTTTCTTAAATTCTAAGCTAAATGCCCGTGGTCATCCCTGCAATCTATCCCATGTTTTCTTGCTAAGCAAACTACCTCTTTCAGTGTTTTTAGCTATAAAAAATAGCTTGCCCAATGGTGGATTTTGGGTACCCCCTTTGTAGAAACTGATCTTTCATGAGGGCAAGTTCTCTCTCAAAATCCTCATCTTTGTTACAGTTCCTGTGCAAACGCAGGAACTGGCCCACAGGAAACCCCCTGACTGTATGCTTGGGATAGTCAGAATCTGCCCTCAAGATACTATTACCAGAAAATGGTTTTCTACACAAACTGGTAGTCACACAACCATTGCCACCTGTTGGTGTAACATCCAAAAAGATAATACTATAATCATTATTTTGTCTGGTGAAACCGAGAATAAACTTGTTGTGATTTAAATATAACAAAATATCTTTTATTCCCCCAAAATTACCATAACAAATAAAGATCAAGTCATCTATATAGCACCTGAAAAGGGTGAGAACCTGGCACCAATTGCCACTGAAGATAAAATTCTCCATCAAATGAAAAATAATTAGGAGCCAACAGGTATTCAAGGCATTCCAAGATGAATGCGGGAGTATAATCCACACTGATCCAAGTAAAAGCAGACTGCTCTGAGACCCAAAGCATGAGGGATGGAGGCGTACAGACTGGCCACATCACATGTGATCCATCTGTCACCCTCCATCCACTTAACATCCTGACACAAATGTAACAAATAATTAGCATCACGTAAGTAACTGGGAAGCCTCACAACTATAGGTTGCAACTGGAACTCCAGCCACTGTCCAATCCTCTCATTCAGGGACCCAATCCTGGCTACAATGGGTCTGCCCACAAGGGGATCCAATCCCTTGTGGGTTTTGAGGAAAAGATAAAACAATGGGATAATGGATGCTTCAGAAACTAATAGTTCCCCATCTCTCTTAGATAAAATACTAAGTCTAACACCTTTTTGTACAAGTGTGGTAAGTGTAGTCCTATACTCACCAGTGGGATGTTTCCTCAATCTACAATATGTATTGTCGTCAGAAAGTTGTCTGCCAGCTTCACTTTTATATGTATCAAATACTGACTGTGTACAATGTCCTAATTCATTACAGAGCAAAAAAGAGATCACCCTCTTTGTAAGCAAATCAAATCATCAGGCAAACAACGATAGACCCAACAGGTGCAACAGCCGCGTTAAGCGTTGAATTTTTGAGTGGATGTACCCTGATGGGTCACTGTGAGGCAAGTTCCTCATCGGGTTCCACATCCTATGTGATCAACAGTGAGTTGATCAGCGTGGGTGGACTACATAGTCACTTTTAAGCCCAATAGTGGCTAAGGAACTCACACACTGTGGTCTGCTGTCAGTCCCGAAGAAAGCGAATCTGATGGGGAACTAGCCTCTTCCCCATGTAAGTTTTTGGCCATGTCATTGGTTTCTAGGATGCTGGTGCCCTGTGTTTTAGCAGCCAATGAAGTAAACTCATAGTCAATGACACATTTGAACACCCCCACCCCCCGATAACTCTGGCCTGCCTGTATGCCAACTTTGAGTTGGTTTTCATTATCTCCGGTTTTGTTTTTTAGGAACTGTAGGTATTTATATTTAAATTTGTCACAGCCATAATGACATATTGTAAAAGTGACACAAATAAGAACTACATGAAACTGCCATATATGTCAGACCATGTATTTTATAAAACTGTCACAATGCTTTCATGAACTTGGTGTATGACATTTCAAAGAGACCATTCCACAGAAAAGTGTTGTCAATGCTTCACTGAATTTCCTTATTTGTGGGTTATATTTTCTTAATCCGCATGAAGGTATCTCTATCATAGAAGGGCTGGTTGGTTATGTTTGTCTCCAAGGCTAAACATTCATAGACCTCCTCCCCTTAAGTTCACCCAACAATAGAGAACCAAAGAAAAGTAGGATAGCAAAAGAATAAGACTTAGGGCTTGTTTACAGTAGTGATAGCCCTTGCCATCCCTCTAAAAAGCGATATGAGGTGCACAAGCAGTTGGGAGGTATTATGTTGTCACCTCATGGCCTGTATTAACCCTGAAAAGCTACAGCACTGCATGGCAATTGCATGTATTGCATGTGGTTGCAAGGAGGTTGCAACATGGCCCCATACACTTGAACAACAGGGGGTGTAAAAAATGCTGTGGTATGTACTGTATACAACCCTCTCTGACTGTTATACCCTGTTTCCCCAAAATAAGACAGTGTCTTATATTAATTTTTGCTCCCAAAGATGCGCTAGGTCTTATTTTCAGGGGATGTCTTATTTTGTCATTGTGTGTCATTTTGATTGTCCCCTCTGATCCTCCTGTGTCATTTTGATTGCCCCTCTGATCCTCCTGTGTCATTTTGATTGCCCCCTCTGATCCTCCTGTGTCATTTTGATTGCCCCCTCTGATCCTCCTGTGTCATTTTGATTGCCCCCTCTGATCCTTGTGTCAAGTGATCACCCTCCCCCCCCACCCCTGTGCCACTGAACACCTTCACCAGACATCCCCCCCACCCCTTTATCAGACATTTCCCCCCTGGGGCCTGCCTGGGGACTGTCACTGGGCTGGCTGGGGCCTGAACCTGGGCTGGAGCAGGGTCTGCCACTGACTGAGAACCTTCAGTCATCATGAGGGCGGTGTCACCAGAGACAGGCCAGCACTCACCACCTTCGCCGCGTCCCGGCCGCTCTGATCCTCCTGTTCTTTTACACGCATCTCTCTCCCGCTCACTCCGACCTCCGCTCCGCCTCCACACAGCAGTGACGTCACTGGTTGCTAGACGCCAGTCGGGGCAGCCCTAGCAACCAGTTTACGGTAAATTAATTTTCATTACGAGACAGAGCCTAGGGGGGCCTTATTTTCGGGGGGATGCCTTATATTTCACCCAGAAGGAAACCTGTAAGTAGGTCTTATTTTCGGAGGATGTCTTATTTTCGGGGAAACACGGTATTAAGTTAAGGAGGTGTATTCTGGGCCAGGGCTTAGCTGCCTATATTTACTGCTTTCCACTGGTGAACAAGCCCTAAGTGTGTTGTTTTGACTGTCTACATCTTAGAGTCTGCTTATTCTTTTGATATGCAGTTTTCATCATGTTTTCCGTTAGAATTTTTTAGATTTATGACAGGTTTGCTTTAATTGAGAAGTCCGATACTGTGCAAAATGCAAGAACTACAAAGTCATGCAATTTGAAAAAGATTTTCCAGTTTCAGTAAAAATTTGACTTCGGGTCACTTTTATAGTCAGAGAAGAAATAACCGTGTACTTACCTTGAATAGCAATTTAAAAATGATTTTCCAGTATTATTGATAATTTGACTTGGGGCCACTCATATATGCAGAGAAGGATTAATCAAATGTACTTACCTTGAGCTGACTGAAAGAATGTTTTCTCATGCCCCATGAACACTAGAATAATGGTTTCCAGCTCCCTATCTGTGGAAGGGTGATTATACAGTATGTTATACATAAAAGAAATAAAGGACACATGATTGCATGGCAAATAAGGTGGACATTATTTCTGAATTTCTGCATAGTGAATAGTATGGTACAGTTTAAGCAAGGCAGTGAAAGAATCGTTTTCCCAGAAGCAAACATTTGTTTGCAGATCCTGCAGTAATATTTTTTATGTCTCTCAGATTGCCTATTTTAGAAGGAATATCCAGTTTCAAATATCTCTTCCCTCACTCCTATGAGTAGGAATCTACTATTTGGGGTGTTGGCATGATGCTCTTTCTTCAACACCACAGGGCCCTATTGTGCTGCATTCAGGAAACATCTTTCAATAAAGGAGTCTCATAGGGGTTGATTTACCAAAGACAAACAAACTGTGCACTTTCCAACTGCAGTAGCTCCAGAGCTTAGTAAATGAGGTGAAGCTTCATTTTACAAAGAATAGCTAATCACATTGTCAGGAAACTAGTGCAGCTCATGTGAATTCTTCTGCGCTCATGCAAATTCTTCTTCAGCTAATACTAATTCCCGTGCAGCTTATGCTGGTTCACATGTTCCAGCACACAGACAAGCCCAGGCTAATATCCAGTGTGCATTGATTCGTTGGCGCATTGCTATGAGCCATCATGTATCAGCATGCACGTCTTCCCGCATTGATGCCAAGCTTCCTATTTAACCACTTGCCTACAGGGCACTTATACCCCCTTCCTGTCCAGGCCAATTTCCAGCTTTCAGCGCTGTCACACTTTGAATGACAATTGTGCGGTCATGCAACACTGTACCCATATGAAATTTTTATCATTTTTTTGAGACAGATAGAGCTTTCTTTTGGTGGTATTTAATCACCTCTGAGATTTTTATTTTTTTCTTAAACAAACCAAAAACCACTGAAAATTTTGAAAAAAAAAAGTTTTTTCTTAGTTTTTGTTATACAATTTTGTAAATAAGTGATTTTTCTCCTTCACTGATGTGCGCTAATGAGGCTGCAGTGATGGGCACTGATAGGCTGCACTGATGGACACTGATAGGTGGCACTGATGGGCACTGAGGAGGAGGCACTGGTAGGTTGCACTGATAGGCATTGACAGGCATCACTGATGGGCACTGAAAGGCAGCACTGATACATGACACTAATATATGGCACTGATAGGCGGCACTGATAGGCAGCACTGACTGGCACTGATAGGCGGCATTGACTGGCACTGATAGGTGGCACTGACTGGCACTGATAGGTGGCACTGACTGGCAGCACTGATAGGTGGCACTGATTGGCATTGATAGGTGGCACTGACTGGCACTGATGGGTGACATTGAAAGGCAGCTCAGATGGGCACTGATATGTGGCATTGATGTGTACTGGTATGCACTGATATGTGCCATTGATGTGGCACTGATGGGCAGTGGCACTGATGAGCACTGACAGGTGGCACTTCTGGGGCCACACTGATCATCAGGGCACTGATGATCAGTGTACATGTCCCCTCTGAGTAAAGCCGATTACCGGCTCTCCTCTCCTCTCGAGCTGTCAGCGTGTCACCTCGAGAGGAGAGAAATGCCGATAACCGGCATTTCCGTGTTTACATGTGATCAGCTGTGATTGGACACAGCTGATCACATGACCGAGCCGACATCTTCGGCTCTTTCCATGATCCGCTGTGTCCAAGGGACACAGCGCACCGGCGATCGCTACGCTACGCTCCCTGAGCTGTGCATGCGCAGTGAGAATGGTAGGACTTCATATGACGTCCTATCAGAACGAGAGAAACCACCTTGGACCCATCATTGTACTATAGGGCGGGCGGAAGGTGGAGGAGACTCTGCTGTGTACTAATCGCTGGATGTTCTTCAGCTTTCTGTGACCCGTGTTCTTGTGTCCTGCTTGAACTGACTGATCTTCCGTTGCTGATCCGGCTTGCTCCTGACCTTGCTCTGTGGATTCTGGATTCTGACCTCGGCTTTCCTCTGGCTATTCTCTGCCTGATCTCCTGGTGTTGACCTCGACTTACCTCTGACTATTGTCTGCCTGATCTCCTGGTGCTGACCTCAGCTTACCTCTGACTATTGTCTGCCTGATCTCCTGGTGCTAACCTTGGCTTGCTACTGGACCTCGCTCTGCTTACTAACCTGGTACTGAACCCGACCTGCCTCCTGACCATGCTGCTGTCTCACTGTGTATGACCCTGGCTCACCTTGACTACATCACTGACCATGGCAATCACCTGCTATCACACGCTATCGGAACCTGTGCTTCTTTGAGCCTTGTACCTCTGTCACCACATTCAGGGGTGATCGGACCAGAGCCGCAAGGGGATGCCCTCTCAACTCAGCCTTCAACCAACACATGCAGGAAAAAAAAAAGAGGCATTTTTGCTTACACTTGATTGGATGATGGAAGTCAGCAGAGCTTCTCCGCCTTTACTAGGCTCTTGAGCAACTGCACTTGCAAAGGGCACAGTCAACCCCATAGTGTCTCCACATCACAGGGGGAGTTGTACAGAAGGCTTGTTCTTCAAAACAGACAAAGTATGTACATTCTCACTTTACTTCACCTCACCTTACGTCAACTCTGCCCTTCCACTCTTTACCACAATGACCATCAGCCCCTGCCCTAGTGGAGGGGCTCCTGGTTTCTGGTTGGTGAAAAATCCTTCAGAAGCTCTTCACATATCTGCATGTCTTTTTATGGTAATCAAAGGGAATGTTAAAAATAAATTACTGTCTGTGGGGCAAATCATATCTCCCTGCTGTGGTAAAAAACACACTATGCAGACCTATAGACATGAATGGAAATATGGATAAAGCCAGAGCTCACCTCCATCTCAGAGTGGTAAACCTGTTTTGGATGAAAACAACAAGGAGACATCTATACTTCCTTCACCAGTTTATATGTATAAGCTGCATATATATATATATATATATATATAATATATATATATATATATATATATATCATATGCACACCCACCCATAAGCTATAAGCAACGATAGTAAATAGTAAATAGCCTAGGAGCACTTGCCTGTCAATACCTTCTGGTCAGGATTTAGCAGCAGCTTTTCTTTTCCATGGATAGGAAATGTCGTCTCAGACTGTCTCTCTCTCTCCCTCTACTTCCTCCTTCTGGGGTTTTCAACCCAACAACCCAGAGACAGGAGGAGCATTTATAATATATCAGCAACTCAGGCATTTACAAATACAGACAGCGGAGGGCAGCAGATCCCTACACAGGAAAGAACAAAGCTACTTGTGACTATTCTCAAAGACAGTGTCCCTCCAGACAGACAAAGACAGTGAAATCCAGGGTAACTCTGGTAACACAGGTGTACAGCTGGAAGGATTCAGGGACCAAGGACAACATTCCACCCCTCTGGACCTGCAGTATTGTGGTAGAAATCAGAGAGGTGCTCCCCACTGTAGCTCTATAAACCTCTATAAACTCCTGTAGGAAGGAAGCTGGGAAACGGTTTTCGCTGTCAAGAAACTCGGGTAGTTGAGGGAAAAGGAGTTATAGTGGATCTAAATGCTTTCAATCAACATTAACTACTTTTAATCCTTATCCTACTAGTCTTAGTAAATAGATATGAAGGTATATTACATTTACTTGTTTTAAACTTTCTTTTTTACATTTCTTCAGTTGCTTCCTGGTTTCTGGCCTATGTCAAAATCATGCTCATACATTCCATAAGTCTTCATGGGCATTTTTATTATTAATCTGGAGGGGGGAGGGGGGGCTTTCTTAGCTAAGCACTCCTTCCTTCCTTCCTGTCTGCATGCCTGAGTTAAGGGCAGATGAATTCCACGAGCTAAATGGTACATGAATCATCTGCCCTACTTAACATGGTGGCTATAAATACTGTTTTTCAAAGTGATTTCTCAACAAACTAAAGCATGGGGACATGAATGGATGGGTGAGTTTGCTTTGAATATTAAAAATGACATCTGAGCATGGTGATTAAAAAGGCACGCCACCATAAATGGTTCTCAGTAAAAGTTAAAATTTTAATGTTACCATTGTGTTTCAGGGTATTTGTGGATTCCCTTCATCATGGCTATAAATATATTCCAACATCAGACACCTAAAGGTATAGTATAGACTGGGATCTGCATTGCCACTTAATTTTCACGATAGGTATGGTCTTCTGACCTTTGCATCCATGTTTGCAAGCTGTCTTCATCCTGTTGCACATAATGGTCTCTAATCTGCACCTAGGTTTATTCATTGCTCTACCTATAGGAATAGCAGTACATGAAGAAGGTATATCTTTTCTTTTTCATCTTTAATGAAACATTAAATGTCAGCACACAGAAAATATGATCTGACCCACCTACATGGCAACAAATAGGTACTTTTCACTTATCAACATAATGGTACTTGGTAAGGCTGACTTGTGCCCTGCTGATTCATGAAGTGTAATTTTTTTTAATGATAGGCTCACTATAATGGCTGGGTATTTACCTGCATTATAGCAAGTATAACACCTTCTTCTATATGCTAGCTGACAAAATTATGAATGACAGCAGCAGTATCCCTCTTATTATTACCTCATTTTCATTCAGGTAATCAGGGAACCCCCTCTGGTTTACCAACTGGAGATCAGACACTGAGGGGATCATTAAAGGTATCATGGGGAGAAACTTATGTAAACAGGGAATGACTTTGGGATTGAATTGAGCTGCGTATCTATCACATCTAGTGTTAGCTGGAACGCCTTTGGTCAACACCATTAGTGTCTTAGTGGAATGTTGTTATTTTCAATGCCGGTCATTATAAAGATAATGATAAATGACCTTATGAGCCAGCATGAATATAAGTTCTGGGGGGAAAATTTAAATTTTTCTGTTACAAGGTATCTTGTTGATAATAATTAGAGATTTACTCATGAGAAGGCATACAATGAATTAATCTGAAAAAAGTAAATGCCACCCCCTGCTGTGTCAAATTAGGTCCAGACAGTCCACACAACACCTTTACCTCATTTTAGACAGGGATTTTCCACTTCCGGGTCCACAATTCCCAGAGCAGATCTGGCAAAATCTAGGTTGCTGGTCTGATGATGTCCCCCTGCATTCTAGAGGGTTCTGGAATCACAGTGGAAGGAAAGGCAGAAGGACAGTTTGAATATTTATGTGCCTGGGGAGGTGTGGCCAGAAGGTGGCCGGAGAGCCCACAAATAGTCTGAGTCTAGTCTGGGAAGTTCAGCTTGGAGAGTTTGCTGAAGAGTACCTGATGAAAGTTGGAGGAGGGTGTCCAGCTGTCCTGTGGTATTGTGAGTTTTGTTTACCCCTCACTGTAGAGTGCCCAGTGGATATTGGAAGGAAGCAACCGATGATCCTGTGGCATTGTAGGTACTGACCTGCATTTAAAGCCCTAGTTACTTTGTGCAAATTTCTGTTCTTCAAAAAGGCACTATTTTTTACTCAACCAGTGGTGATTTCCTTGGAAGCAGGGGCGTACTGACCATTCGAGCACCCAGGCACTGCCTGAGGGCCCAGGGTCAGTAGGGGGCCCCATGAAATGCCCCTAGTACCTTTTATAGGCTTTTTTTTGTGTGTTTTGAGTGTGGGCAAGGACACAGGGGCCCCATGATCCCCTATTGCCTGGGGGCCCCATGAGTTGTCAGTCCACCCCTGCTTGGAAGCTCTATCCTATCTGCTTTTTCTGCTTTGTGATACAGAGTTTTTCTTTTAGGGTATTCCATATTCCCCACCTCATCCAAAATAAAAGCATAAAAGGCACTCTCTAGACTGTTTATTGAGCCAGAGAAAGATAGGAAATACCATGTGCCTGGCTGTGTTTACACTAGAATTGGGGAAGGAATCAAAGTATCATCAGCAGCTCCTTAGGAGGTGCACGTTATGAAGGCAAAACCTTTTTTTTTCCAAATTCTTTATTTTCACAGAACAGCAAGTTCCATTCATATTAAAGAGTACAGTAAGGTAAGTACAGTGACGTTCAAACATCTAGTACACCACGTATCCTCTTAGCAGTTTCAACATATAACAGGTAACATGTAACAGGACTCTGGTAACACAGGGTTCCCTCAGTGATCAGAACGTCAGAAAAAATAAAAATAAATGAACAGCCGAGGGAGGCCCACCTAATTATAACAGATTGTGTGGGACACTGCTGAGCACTATACTTCTTCCCTTTGGCTGAACCAAATAGGGAGTAGTCCAGGGAGAGAGAAAAAAAAATAAAAAAACACATAAACAAAGAGGAAAAAAGCAAAAGAGTAGAAAATGAGAGCAGGCAGGAGGAGAAAAAAAAAGGGGGGGGGGGGCAGGAAGGGTTAAAGGAAGGAGAGGTGCCTTGTGAGGGACAATCAGTCCAAAAGTTAACAGCCAGTGGAGCACATCATGAGAAGAGACTTCCCTTCCTCAGAATATATGAACATATTCCACAGCTTTGGAGCTGAACTCCACACTTGGTGTGACAGCACAAGATCTTCCATTTGGTTTAGTTCCTCTACTTTATGTAGCCAAAGCCCAATGGATGGGGCTGTGGACATCTCCATGGTATATTGGTAACATGTAAAAAGAAAAAGCTGGGTCTTCAGGGACCAGTTAATCTGTGAATGTTTGCACTATTCAAAGTACCTCTTCCCAATAGAGTGCAAGTCTAGGACACGACCAGAACACATGTAGGAGCATTCCCCTCTCCTCCTGATACT